GGTTTACTGTGTAGATTCAGACAGGTGAGGCAGATAATTGATGGGAACTCTCATGGTTTATGATTCAGTACATTCATTTGATTTGTGTGGTAATTAGCAGGAACTGAATTTTTAGGAGAGGAAAATAAAGCAACTTGGGGAACAAAAGAAAGTGAATATAGGTTGAAAGAGGAGAAAGAATACAGCACAGGAGGCTAGCGAATAGGCTATTGCATATGTCCTGAATTATTACTGTGATATGGAAATAAAATATATTCCAAATAATACCGATGATGAGTAACTGGGGTGAGTTAATTTTCCAGGCAGCTACTGGAGAGTAAGCTCCACCAGAATAAGAATCTTCTCACATTTATCTTTGCATCTCAAGAGGTTAGCCCAGAAGTGGCACAATATAATTAATAAATAAATGTCCGTTGAATGAATTAAGGACTGAAAAGGGCTGAAAGGCTGTGAGACGAATAATATCCTTAAACGTCGGAATCTTACACTCCACACACAGGAAGGATGACAGCCCATAACAAAGGTGATTGTGTGGCATGTTGTCCCTAAAGAGTGGCTTTGAAGTGGGCTTAGGGGTTCCTGGGTTTGTTAGATTCGTTCTAGGACATAGGGTAGCCATGGTCACCTCACCTGGAGGCTTGCATGTCTCTGCAGAGCCGAGGCTGGTGGCCAAGGGTTTGACCCAGACTACAGGTGCCCAAGAAATACTGGGTCAATGTAAGGCCATGTTGATAAGCCCCTGGGGGTGGAAAAGGGCAGCCAAAACCAAATTCAACGCTCTTCTACTTGGTTCTAAGCGTTATACCTCATGCCAGAGAATGAGGTGAAATGGAGCCTCTAGCTTCATCTTAAATTTCTTGTGGGTGCCTAGTTCATGTGTGCTGCTCAGTTTTATTTTCTGAAAAGAGTTGCCTGGAGTTGAAGGGCAGATATTTTGAAAATGCTAACATTAGGACTTTTATCTTTGGGGAATGGATGTAAAAATTGAAAAATCAGAGACTCAATGGTTTACTATTAGTTCAATAACTTAAATGGTAGACGACATAAAGATGTGGGTTATCTCTTTTAGGCCACACTGTGCAGTCTGTTTTGGTTTCCTTTTTGTTTCGAGGTGCAGTGCCAAATTGAGTACCTGGAGCAAGGCCTGGAATAAATTAGATGCTCAATAAAAGCTTGTTGAATGACTGACTGAATGCTGCTTTCTCCTCCCTCGCAGCTGGCTCACCTAGTAACGTTTGAAAGACAGCTGGATAATTCTGAGCCACGCAGGAGTTCAGATTTGTACTGAAAGAGACTGAAGACTGGGCAGACAGATCATTCCTTTAGGGAGCTCTTTTCCTCAACTGCCTCCTGAAAATTACACTTGTGTTGGCTTCTACGTTATGGCATGAAATCCACTCATCAAATCAGATGTTAGAAAAAGGAAGGAGATTTCAGAGATAGAAAATCGAGGAGCACTCTTAACCAAAGGCTGTTTGACCAAAAACTAAGCCCTTAATATGAAGCAGAGTTTTCAAGAAACAGTTTATTTAGTGATAAAGCCTTGTCATAAACTGTGGTTAGATGATTCTTTGGTTAAGGAGTAAACAGAAAGCAATAATGCCTGATGATGACCATAGGTAGAAATCTTTTGAATCAGAGCCTTTGAATCTACACTGAAAACAATTTCTTTATTATGGTGTGAGATAGACCAGTAAACTCTTAGTGATCCATACATACTTCCCAAATCTCAAATGCTGGCCGGTGTAAATCTTACAGTGTTTTACCCTGTATAATTAATCATAATTTATGGAATATATCCCAGAATGCAGATGTTTGCTTTTTCTTTTCTTTTTAATACCATTTCACAGAGCTATGTGTGTACAATTCTTTTGATTCCTTTCACGTGGAGAAAGTGCTTCTTGCTTTAATGCAAATTCTACCAAAGCCTGTTTAAGTTTGTCCCCCTCATGTTACAAATACTAATAGGGAGGGACAGGAACCCCAAGGTCAGCACACAAGAGCAAGAAGAATGAAGGGATATGTCTGAAATAGGACCCTGTAAGAAATAGCTGTTGCCAAAGAATCTGTCATTCCTACCAGGCAACCTGGGGCAATTTAGGACTGAACTTCCACTGCTGTTGCTATGGTTTCTAGACAAAGACGACAGGACTGCATTCCAATTATATCCTTCAGAATGACAGATAACTGAAAAGTAGGAAATGGGGTAATAAAATCTCAGGTCACCCAGAAGAGGTGTGATAGATCCAAGTGGTATAGAAACGAAAGATGCAAGTTTATGTTTGTTTTAAAAAATGCTTTTGTGATTTAGAATGCAAATGTGTATTAAGCAAATCCTCCAGACTTTCCATAGGAATATTATCCACCATCCAGTTCATTATCCACAGCCAGATATCTCCCGCTTCATAGGAATGTTCCTAATAACATTTTAAACTTAAACAGCGTTTAATAGAAAGAAATCTTTTTTTTTTAAATATTTTTATTTATTTCTAGGAGAGAGAGAGACAGGGTGAGCAGGGGAGGGTCAGAGAGAGAGGGAGATACAGACTCTGAAATAGGCTCCAGGCTCTGAGCTGGCAGTCAGCACAGAGCCCGACGCGGGGCCCGAACCCACGAACAGTGAGATCATGACCTAAGCGAAAGTTGGACGCTTAAACGACTAAGCCACCCAGGCGCCCCTAGAAAGAAATCTTGAACAGTGAAAAGTAAATTCTGAAGATACTGCAGATACAGCAATGCCATTTTTTCCCTTAATGTTGGAATCAAATGTAATATTCGGTTATTCCAGCTGAAGGTATTATTGCAAACTTTGCACGTAGCTTTGAGCCATGTCTGATAATCAGTATTATTTCGCCTGGGTCAGCAGTAAGTTCACTGTCATGCTATTGACTATAATGAAGATACTCGCCTTTTCACTGAGAGGAAATTAGTTAGAAATGAAAAGGTTCACAGTGAGCTCTTGGATGAAACTACTGGTAGGCCTCGTTCTGTATTCTCTGCAGTTAGCAGAAATGGAGCATTTTAATTCCAAAGCAGCATAGGCAATGTACATAATCTTTCGAGCTTAAAACAATTTGTCATCTAAAATCTTTAAAACGTTAGGGGTGTCTGGGTGGCTCAGTCAGTTAAACATCAGACTCTATTTTGGGCTGGATCATGATCTCAGGGTGGTGGGCTCAAGCCCGACATCAGGCTGTGCATTGAGCATGGAACCTGCTTCAGATTCTCTCTCCCCTTTCTCTCTCTGCCTCTTTCTCCAGCTTGGGCTCTCTCTCTCTCTCTCAAAATAAATAAATATTAAAAAATCTTTAGAACATTAAGTCTCAGTTTCTTTCATTTTTATTTGAAGTTTATTTATCTTGAGAGGGAGAGGGTGTACACGCACATGCACGCACATGACGGGCTCAGGGAGAGAAAGAATCCCAAGCGGGCTCCACACTCCATGTCAGCATGGAGCCTGATGGGGTCTCAAACTCACAAACCCGTGAGACCAAGACCTAAGCTGAAATCAAGAGCCAGTTGCTTAACCAACTGGGTCACCCAGGAGCCCCAGTTTCTTTTTTTGTAAAATGGAATAACACCAACCGCTTAGAGCTGTGACTTTAGATTGGATAATGTATATAAAGCATTTAGCTCAGCATCTGTCGCATACCATTAAGTAAATGGAGCAGGTACTATTTCTATCACCACTACTACTCTTATACTACCTTGTGCCATATACACGGTGATAAGTGTGCAGCTATTACCATAGCAGAGAAACAAACAAAATTGGTAAATTGAAGGACTTAATACTACATATCTACAAAAAAGTCTTTAAGAAGTACCTCAGATATGAAATTAGATGGGTTTGAAAGATGGTGAAGAAAAGCACAAATTTACTAAATGGTGTCTCAAGGATTACTGCCAGGAGAGTGAGATGGAAACTTCTAGATGTCCTGAAGCCTCCTGTTTCTCTTTAGGGATATTTATTTTCTGACGCTTTGAGGATAATGTAACATTTTCGTTAACATGTTGAAGATAGCCATTACCGTTTTATAAAGATCAGTTTTATCATTTTCTTTCTATGCATAAATTCAGAGTTTGGCTGGATTCCTAAGCCTGACTTTTACATATTCAGGATACATTTTTTTTTTCTTAGCTAGAATTGGTTTGATTTTCTAATGGAAGTAATTAGAAAAAAATGATTTATTTAGTATGAGATTTCTGTATGATAAATCTTACAAAATCAATCTATTCTCTGTATAAATAATGACAACGTTAAAGAAAAAAAGGAAATGAAGTCTTTCCTTAAAGAGACTGCTTTAAAAAAATATCTTAGTGGTTCAGAGTCCAGCTTTTCACACAGTTTATTTTGCTTTGCTTTTCTGCTCTTCATGTGTTGTGGCAAATTTTTTTCATTCACAAACCCTGAAATTTGCATTCTATCATATGCATGTACATATATGTTATAAAGTGTATAATTTTGCTGAGCATTTATGGTTAAAGCAAGTAGAGACCCGGGCAGTTTCAGAGAAAAATAAGTAAAAAATTCACCTATTATGGAATTCTATGAAGAAGAGCCTTAATTTATGATTCATATTTTTCAGTTACTCTTCTGTTACTGAAATTTTGGAATAACTGGTTATGATCAAAATATGAACCATTATTTCTAAAATAAATACAAAGGGCAAACACTCCAATAATCCAATTTCTTTTGTTTTAATTCTTTGATCCGTATCGATCTGTGCAAGGGTTGCATTGTCAGTGGAGCAGCCGGTCAATGGGCACACCAATTTTCCTGCCTGCAAATGGGATTTCGAGTGATTTCTTTTATGGCATGGTTACATCTCACTGAAACATCAGAGGGTAGCAGCTCTTCCCATCCCAAAGCTGACTTGGAAAGGTGACATATCTGTTTTTGTTTTTATCTTACAATATAGGTCACGAAACAGAATGATGACACTTTATGGGAATCATCAAAATTATGTAGACATAGTGTGAAGAGGGTCTTGGCAACTTACCTTAAAAGAGATTTCGTACTGTTCTCCTCCCCAGATTTCTAAACCTGGATCATAGCCGCCCAACTCCCAAAACCATTTTCGATCCACAGCAAAGAGACCTCCAGCCATAACGGGAGACCTATGAAATGAAAAAGATAATATTTAAAGGACTAGGAATATTTGCTTGTTAAAAAATAAAAACAAACTTCAAGATACGCTTCAGCGGCCTCGTGCATGACACTACAGCCCTGGTTTTCTGTCAGTGGATCTAGGGTTCTTACTGGGTCTCTAGTTGCTCTTGGAATCCTTATGAGCTTTAAGTTTTGCACTTCAGGCTCTAATGCAATTGATGCCCTGTAGAGCCACATTTGTTCCATATATTTGTCATTAGAGAGAAATACATGACTGCTAGTGAATGATATATAGAGAAATATCGCTTAATTTTATGGCCTTTCCTTAAATGCAAGGAGTCTTGTACCATCAGACGGAAAACACTGTTATAGACAATAGCTTAAATTCAATCTTTTGGTATGCATTCACCAAGAATTTACCATTAACAGGTCATGTCCATTTTACAGACTATGAGATGATTAGTAGAATAAATAAACCAACCACAATTAGTTATTTAATTAAGATGCCAAAGGTGGAATTTAAACAGGTCTTTTCAGGATGAATGAGTTAAGCATCTGACTCCTGATTTAGGCTCAGGTCATGATCTCGTGGTTCATGAAATTGAGCCTTGCTTCGATAAATAAATAATTTAAATAAATAAATAGATAAATAAATAGATAAACAAACAAACTTAAAAAGTTAAACTAGGTCTTTTCATTTTAGTTATATCATTCTTTTTAGGCTTTCTCTGCCTTTCTAAGGAATATTCCTTTTGCTCAAGTAATAATTTTCAAGTATTGCAATCCTGCTAGAGTATACAGTAGTCCCATGGCTATGTGATGAGATAATTTATAATTATGGGCCCTGTCTTAAACTTTTTGCAGTTTAAAGGTAGCAATAGTGTGTTTTGTTTGATGGTTTGTTTTTTGAAGCCTTGGTATGTGCTGGGCTCTTGGCTAAAAGTTTTACCCAATTCCTTTGATTTCTCCTCACTACAATCCTGTGAGTATCATTCTCATGTAGTGTTTGAAAGAAATAGGCAGAGAGAGGTAAGGAACAGTGGGCCAATGCTGGAGTTAGTGGTGGTTCTGGGGCCGGGCCAGGTCCTCTGATTTCAAAGTCTTTGAGCTCTTTACTGTAACCCTTTTTCTGTTTCAGTGCTTGGGGGTAAAGACAAACAAATATGTAAAAGTGGATATCAGACACTCAGAGAACGCACCTATGCAGACAAAGCAAATCTGTAAAAAAAAAAAAAAAAAAATTCCAGCATAGTTTTTGTGATAGTTTTGAAAAACTTTTGAAACAAAGGATATTTATACATAAGTATATAAGGCATTTAGAATATGTATAAACATATTAGACACACCAACTGAAGACCTGCTCTTGGTAATGTTTTATGAAGCACTTGAACAACATAAACTTGAATTTGTTTGTGTGTTCTAGATTTCAAAGGCTTTGTGTGTGAAAATGGTATTTGGCCTGATTACTTCAGCTTAAGAATATTTTTTAATGTGTAGAGTCTCTGTGGCTAGAAAGATGGCAAGGCAGGAAAGGGGATTTATTATTCTACCTAGGAAAGTGAGCAGCATTAAGAAAAATAACGCGGAGAATCTTATATAATTTTTTTTTTTTTGAAAGAAAAATCCTAGAATCAGATGTAACCTACTTTATCCTTCTCCAGCAGCCTAATCTTTTTCCATTTTCCATGAACTGAATTTCAGAGCAGAATTACAACTGTAGCTGGATCAGATGAGGACTGTAATGTGTACCAGGTACAGTTCCCCCGTGAACGCACTACCAGTGTAACCTCCGCTTCTGCAAGGCTTGAGCATAAGTGGTCAGAAATTCTCAATCCTATTCAAACTGAATCACAAAGAGAAAGACCTTAAGTCATACAAATATATTCTCTTTTGATTGTGTAAAATAGAGAGATCAAAGGGCATCAAAATTTACACTGGGCAGAATGAATCTCAAAATTAGAATTCTCCTAGATCTGGAATTATAGATACTAGCAAGAGAAAGTCCTATGTCGATTTTTTGTATGTATGTATGTATTGTAATTCATTGGAAACACTGTATCTTGTTTTCTTAAGGAGTTTATTAAAAAAAACCCACATAGTGTGTTGTAGATACATTTTATCTAGAATATCTAAATTCTAAAATTCTACTAATTTCAGATATAATAAAATAAATTCAAATGGATCATTTTTACCTTCATTGATGTTTTTACCAAGCTCTAAATAAATAAATGTTTCCTGTCTTGATTAGTGTGAATGACTGGTAAGAAACCAACTTTACATTTATGTATGTATTTACTCGTAGTTGTCCATTAATCTTTTAAACAGCTTAATTGGGGTATAGTTGAGATACAGCAGATTGCATATATTTTAAGTATACAGTTTGATGAGTTTTGAGATGGACACTTATGCAGCTATCACTACATTCGAGATTATGAACATAAGCCTTCTGAACCTTTGCCTAGGCAGCCACTGGTCTGCTGTTATTATAGTTTAGCTCATAGTTTCTAGAATTTTATTAAATGTAATCATAAAATTTGTATTCTGTTTTTGGGCCTGGCCTCTTTTATTGTGTATAATTATTTTTAGATTCATTTATGTTTAGTATGTATTTATCATTCACTTTTTATTGTTGAGTAATATTCCACTTACATAAATATACCGCAGTTTGATTATTCATTCACTTATTGATGGACATTTGGGTTGTGTCCAGTTTTGAGCTGTTACAAACAAAGCTGCTATGAATTTTGTTTACTAATCTCTGTGTGGATAAATGCTTTCAATTCTCTCTTGAGGAAATGCCTGGGAGTGGAATGACTAGATCATATGGTCGGTATATGTTTAACTCTCAAAGAAACTGACAAATACTTTCCAAAATGGTTGTATCATTTTATGTTACCAAGAGTAGTGTTTGAGTTCCAGTTTCTATGCATTCTTACTGATACTTCACATGGGCAGTCTTTGAAGTTTAGTCATTATGATTGGGATATAATGGTATCTCAGTGTGGTTTTATTTTGCATTTCCATGATGATTAATGATGTTGAGCATATTGTGTCCCTTCTCTAATTTTCCTTGTCACTCTGCCTAGAGGTTTACCAATTATATTGATCTGCTTAAGGAACCAGCTTTTCGTTTCATTGATTTTTCTCTGTTGTTTTCACTTATATTTCATTGATTTCTTTTTAGTTCTTATTGTTTTAATCTTCTACTTACTTTGTGTTTAATTATCTCTTCTTTTCTCATTACTGAAGTAGAAGCTAAGATCATTGACCCAAGAGCTTTTCTTTTTTCTAATATACGTATTAGTACTATAAATCTCACCTAAGCACTCCTTTAGCAGAATCCCACAAAAAATAGTATGCAGTATTCTCATTTTCATTACGTTCAAAATACTTCCTAATTTCTTTTTTGTTTTCCTTCGTTGACCCATTTGTTATATAGACATGTGTAATTTAGTTTCCAAATATTTGGGAGTTTTTGGTCATAAGTGCATTTTGGTCATTGATTCTCATTTAATTCCATTGTGGTTAGATAAGATACTTTGTATGACTTGAGTCATTTCAAATTATTAAGACTTTAATGGCTCAGAATATGACCTATCTTGGTAAATGCTCCATGTGTATTTGACAAGGATGCAAATTATGTTGCTGTTGAGTGGAGGGGTCTATACACATTTATTAGATAAAGTTGGTCGGTAGTGTTATTCAAGTCTTGTATATTCTTACTGGTTTTCTGTCTCCTTGTTGTGTTAGTTACTGAGAGGGGGATATTGCAATTTATGGCTGTAATTTTGAATTTGTTTATTTCTTCATGCTATTCTATTAATTTTTTGCTTCATGTATTTTATAGTTCTGTTAATAAGTGCATAAATGTCTAAGATTTTTATGTATTCTTGATGAATTAACTTTAATCTTGTTATGAAATGACTTGAATCATCCCTGTTAATATTCTTTGCTTTGACATCTATTTTGTCTTGATATTAATATGTCAGCTTTCTTTATATTTGTACTATCTAAACACTAATATTTATTTATAACTTGCATGTCTTTTTATTTTTAAAACTATTTATGTCTTTATATTTAAAGTTTTGTTGTAGTTGTTGTTGTTGTCATTGTTGGCAGCATACACTTGCATCTTGTTGTTTTACAATCTCTGCCTTTTAATTGGGCTATTTAGATCACTTACTTTTTTTTTAGATCATTTACTTTTAATATGATTATTTATGTGGTTAAGCTTAAATACATTATCTTCTTTGTTTTCTATTTGTCCCGTTTATGATTTCGTTTTCCATTTTTTGATTCATTGAATATATTTCATGATTCCATTTAGTATCCTTTATGACTTAACAAAAACTCTGTGTTTTTTGTTTTTTTACACTTTGTGGTGGTTATAGGCTTTATGTGTTTATCTTTTTTAATCACAGTTTAGCTTTCAGTGATACTGTATCAGTGCACAATATGATAAAAATCTTTTAGTAGAACGCTTTCATGTCTCTTCCCCTAACCTTTGTACTCTGTTGTCATACATTTTACTTTTCCGTGTGCTATAAATTCCACATTATATTATTATTATTTTAAGCAATTATCTTAAAAATTTATTTTCTTTATTTTATATTTGAGAGAGAGACAGAGAGACAGAGTGCGAGCAGGGGAGGAACAGAGAGAGAAAGAGACACAGAATCTGAAGCAGGCTCCAGGCTCTGAGCTGTCAGCACAGAGCCTGACGTGGGGCTCAAACTCACAAACTGCAAGATCATGACCTGAGCTGAAGATGGATGCTTAACCAACTGAGCCACCCAGGCGCCCTAAGCAATTATCTTTTAAAATGATTTGAAAATAAAATTTCACATATATGAACTTATAATATAAATACCATTTTTGTTTCCTTAATTCTTTGGTATGGACCCATATTTCCATCCTTGTATCTTTCTGCCTAATAGATTTCCTGTAACATTTCTTGTAGTGGGAGTTTGATCTTTTGCACTTATGAAAACATCTTGTCATCTGTGTT